AAGTAGTACGAGAGGAAGTCCAGCGAGCCGTTGAACCGGAGGCTCCCTTCAACATAGTAACAGCACTTGAGGCAGCACCGTCGGTAAGGTAGGCTGCGATTGCCAGGAGGACACCAGTAGTGCCCCGCCCACTCTCGGCGGCGTTTCGACGGGACACCCTGACGCCAGAGTATGTCTGACGCTAAGACGACCAGCCCCAGTACACCTTCCGGAAACACCTGCGCCGAGGAAGATCGACGTGTGGAGAAAGGCCCACCGTCGCCCGCTGTGCTAACGATGTGGGGAAGGCGACTACCCCCGTTGCCGCACCCGGGAACTTGGGCTGCGCGGCTTCCACCCGAATGACTCCCGCCCACGCTACGGTGAAAGACCGCGGGAGGTCAACAAGCACGTTTGACGACCTCAGTCTCCCCCCCCCCCCCCCTTTCACCTCGACGCGAGTGCTAGCCTACAGCCCAGCAATGCTGTTTCAGATACCCGCAGACGGGAGCACCGATGACTTCTCATGCAAGCCCAACAACGCCTCGACGCCGGCAGGTACAACCTTTGTCGCTGCGACGTCGACTTCGAGCTCGGAGACGGGGTGTGGATGTGGATGCCCATCCGCCGCTACGGCCTCAGCGAGAAACTGTTAAAACTGTAGTTCGCATTCTATAAGGTTATTCGCCGCCTTGGAGACTTGCTCCCCTTCGGAATCCCACCATCAGGGCGCCGCCAGCCACGACCCGAACTGGTGCAAGTTGTTCGTCTCAAGCCATACTATGCTCGATAAGACTCGAGTCTATTCATGGCTCAGACCCCCTTCAATTTACTGTATACGGTCATTTAAATTGTTTGTGTTATTTTAATTAAAGTTACATCAGGACGATGCGCTTGTCTTAGGAGAAGTGTGGAGCAATGCCACGTGCACCGCCAAGGGGAAACGCTACAGCATACTTCAAGAAAATTTGCGTTTACTCTCATAAGAACTGTTCGACGCTCGAACATTCTCGGCTGAATGTTCAAGATAGCGAGTGGAATAAATAAGGAGGCCAACATGGCCTTGCACAGTCAGTCTCGCCCTATAGCACGAAGCTCGGACATTCTACGCGGAATGTACGAGATCCCGATTGTAATATAGGGTAGGAGGCCGGCATGGCCTTGCCGACACTCTCGCGCTAGCAAGCTGTCACGCCGACACCTCGACGTTCCCTTCTTCTTTCTCGACACTCGTTCTTTCTTTTGTTTCTGGCACAAGTTCGCCGATTAAACCTTTGTTTCCAGTTTTACGTTGGTCTATCCTTTTTTTATCCTCGACAGTATCACTGATAAAATGTCCCGCTCGCCTGACATTTCCCCTTCTTAGGCTTCCCGTCTGCAAAAAATAGAATATCTGTCGTCTTCATTAAAAAAACTTGTGAACCTGTGCTTTTTGGTGGGGTTTGAGGTTGACAAGAAAATGAGCCCAAGATCTGTGTAAGATCTAAAGCGCGAATACATTTCCTTCGATGAGAAAACCCAAAAAATGCGTGGCATAAAAGAAAAATGTAACTTTGTACGTCTGTTTTATACATAATCAGATGTCTTCTGAATAGCTTCAGTCATTACAGCTTCGTCTAAAATCCGCAATAGATATATATTTATATTTTCGTAGTGCTTGCGTGTAAATGCATTGTGCACAGGTAGCGAACGTGCTCTCTTCTGCATTGTCATTTTAAAACTAGCCCGCCCGACAACCGGGGAGCGGTTACAAATAGTTCCAACACTAGCACAACAAATAATTAAATCATCATACCGTTTTCTTGACGTCCAAACTACATGCAGGTTGCGAATTGTGGGTGAAGAAAGGCTTACAAGACCAATTATCAGGCTGCTGTTGGTTCATCTATAGATCTTATTGTGGAAATTATAACTAACAAATATACAATACCACATACTGCAACAGCCTGGGAGGCCAGTGGTTGTTCAATTCGAACTTGATCGTAAGGTAAACACTGAATAAACAGAACTAGCAGTATAAACGCGCCTTGCTTTCCTTGTGTTCACATGCTTCAAATTACCATCGTGGGACTGATCTATCTCCACGAGCAAAACTAAAGCCCGTTTCACATCTAGAGTGGCGCGATCCCCGCCGCCGCGGCCATCTGGTTAGCAACAGCGGTAAAACTGCGCTGTTTCTGAAGGTTTGAAATTTTTCGCAGCGGCAGAGCGGCAGCGTCCGCGCTGGCCGTTCACAGCTGGCTATTCGCAGGGGAAGCATAGCGAGAAAGCTAGCGAATAGGATGGCGTTTGCACATTTTTCAAGCACACGACATGCAGGGAAGGTATACGCAAACGACTTGTTTGCGGTTTCTTTTGTTCATTGCCATTGGTGGGTTCAACCTTTCTGTTTCAGCGGTCCCGTCGAAACTCCACGAGCTATTGGGGAGAGGTATTTTTCTCTCCATCCTCCGAATATTTCGCAAAGAAAAGCGTGAAACGTTCGAGCATATCCTATAGTCCGTTGAAAGGTGACGGATCCCTTTTTCTTTACACGTTAGCAGAGCGAAGGCTGGAGAGGAGGAAAGAGGACTCCAGCCTTGTTGTGCTAATCTGCAAAGAGAAAAGGGCTCCGACCTAACGACAACCTCCCCCCCCCCCCCCCCCCCCCACCCGTTTCCCTTCCCCCTTGTTCCGACGCCGTTGTACTTAGAACTGTGCTTGCAATCTCAAGTTCACCTTTCCCCTTCCCATCTGTGTCAGAACCTTCCACATTTGAACTTTCTAGACTTTCGTGTTTAGTGTTTGAGAGTTTCCCGTGTCGTCATGTTTCTCCTCCTCATGAACACACACCTGCACTTCGGAGGCGGCCATATTTGTTGGAATTTTTCCAGCCGAGGTTTCACCCTCCGCGACAACGAACTTAAAAAAAAAAAAATAATAAAGCATCATTTTTTTTAATGTTTTTGTTTTAATAAAGTAAAATTAAAAAGGAAACTGAAATCTTAGTCATTCAGGTTGTTATTGAAGACCGCTAACATTTGTTGTGCGCGTCCGCTTGCTGCAAGCAACGTTGAGCATCGCAGCGGCAGAAAACGCTCGCGGACGACGCCTTTGAAATTAAACATGGCGATCTGTGCCGCGGCGTCACTAGCCGCAGCGATTTTAGCCGCAGAACCGTTGCTTGTGAAACCCGCTAATTCTTTTTTTCTTTTGTACCAGTCAGCACTGAAGCATAGAAATTCGACCTAGGTGTGTATTTATTGACATCCTTCTTTCCTGGTTGACGAGTATACGTCAATGTTGAAGCGCTTCGGTCTACCAAATGGGTCCACGAGATTTCCTTCTGTAAAATTAAAAGTTGAAATATTCAACGTCGGTAAGTGGATGTCCACACGTGAACATCTTTCATATTTTTAGCCTAGCATGTTTTATTTATATTTTTTCAATATGTATCTAAAACATTTTGTGAAAGCTGCACCAATGCGGTCTGTGTAGGTAGATTAAAAGGTCAGGAATAAATAATGTACGAAGGTAAGTATAACGATAAGGTAGATAACTAATTAAAATTCGTTAATTTACTTCTTAATTTGCGAAAATGACCACAAGAGTCCAATTAGAAACTTACTGAGCGTCGTTAAAAATCACAAGTTAGTTAATTTTAGACAGACTTGGAGCTCGTGGTAAGCTCTGCGGTGCGTTAAAGCTACCATTTGGGCTGCAGGCGCAAGGCTGACGGTGCGGAAACACGGATGATAAGAAACGGAAATATCGCGCGAGCGCCTCGAAGTTATATGTATTTTTCTGGGATCCAAAAAAAAACCAAGCACACGCACCAAATTTTTTTACAATACTGATTTCGTGGTTTTCAATGATCCTCGGTAAGTTTTTGATTGAACTCATGTGTTTATTTTACTAGTTAAAAGGCTAATTACCACACTTTAGCTAGGTATCCCACTTGTCGCGACGATTATCCCCCATTTTTTGTCCCCCTAATCGTATAACTCACCTGCACAGACCATGTTTATGTAACTTTCACAGCGCTTTTTGTTTTATCTGTAAAGTTTAAACATAATAATCCTGTACAGAGCTGAGCGTGTTGGTTTCTAATTTACGATAACAAGAAAGGCACATTTATTGTAAACAAAAACCCTGTACATAGCAAACAAGCGGAAGTTATCTTGAGCACCCCCAGTAGCTTGAAACTTCGCCCCACTTACTTGAACATGGGCTATCGGTTTCCTCGGCGCGCGAGTCACAGCAGCTGCACCGAAGTTACACCAGGTGGAACTAATCCTACTTAATTACAGGTAGCGGAGAAATAATCTGACGTCTTTTCATCCCGCCGCGGCCAGCGACTGACGGCGGTTCTGTACTGTGGGACACCTTCCGGAGGTAGGCATGAACACGGGGAAAACGTCCTCGAACGTTTCCGACTGAGCGGTGCGTGAGATGTTTGTTTTGGGTTTTATATACACCTTGCTTCCCCATGTAAGTCGTATGCCTTCGACACCCACTTCCTCGCCTGCGTGCTCGCGATTACGACCCCTCTCAAGGCTTCTTTTCTTTTTTTCGATCATAGTGCATTCAAATTTTACCATTTGATATCTATTTATTATGGTCACTTGTTTATTTGGATGGAATATTTGATCATGAAACCAAACTTTCGTCGCCCCTTGCAGCTGAAATTTGGTAATTTGTCGATCTTGTGCACCATGGAACTTTAGAGATGTACCGAAAACAAAAAAAACCAAAAAAATTAGGACTCGTATAAGAAATATTTACGCGAAGTTTAAGGTGTTACATTAGAAGAATTTAAAAAAGCTCAACACCGGCCCTCCACCTCCTGGTAAAGTTCCTTCAGTCTGGACAATCGTCTCAGCTTCTGTAGTAAACATGAAGAAACGTTGTTAAAGGTGTTGGTGTATTCAGGCACCGAGTCACGCGAGTTCTTGCCACAAGCTGGACTCAGCACAAGTGTTAGGCCTTTCTCATTTCCAGTGTCACTCCGAACGCTGTAGGGTCCAGCTCGCCGATGAAACATGCTGAGGAGCCTGACTTTGACCTTGGTCTCGATTCAACTGTGCAATGCCGGTAAAATATTAAATTCAGTGAAGAAGGTATTGGATTTCTACGAAACCAGACCGGACCTCGGAAAATATCAAGATGGCTGGCGGGTACGGTATTTCTATTTTCCTTACAATAGTTGTCATTTCAAAAAAAAAAATGAAGACATGTTTGGCACGTTTGCGTAAAGTGGCTTTCATAAGATTTGGTAGTCTGAAGAAACAAAATTGTTTTTTATGTTAAAGGTGTGTGCTTCGATCACATAACAAATGGTACAGATGTCTCAAATCGTACAAGTATCTTAATACTGCACATAAATTGGAAAATTAGTAACGCATCCCCGAGGAGCTGTTAGCTTTTCGCCACTGTTCTTCAGGTGACCACGATACAGCTTTATAGTTTTTTCTCTATGGTCGTGCTTGTGGATCGTAATGGAAGAACTGGTGTCACCATTCGTGCCCTTGTTATTCGCAGTTATTCATAGCATATGCCTCAGTCATGACACAGCATATTCAGGTAGCATGCCCTTGCTCTTCCTCAAACTGTCAGTTTACATTTTTCACTTGTAATTCAAACTGTAAGATTCATTGGCATACAGGAATCATCCCCCATGAATGTCCATCTAAGAATTTAAACAATTAGCAGAGGAATATAGGATATTTTTATTTATTCTAATTCATGCCTTTGTACATTCTGCGGCCTCATATAAGGTCATTGCAGGAGTGGAAAATACAGACACATGAACAGAGCAACACGGAAAAACCAGATGCCCTCCAAAATTGTTCACTGAAAACGACTTGCATTATTATAGAAAAAAGAAAAGATCGTTAATTTCGCTAATAAAATCAACACTAGAAACAATACGTATCTGTCCGTCAATTTCATTCCAGTCATCGATAGTTGTCGAGAAAAACGAATTTTTAGAACGATTTATATGACACTGAAAAGGAACAACGTTTAATGGATGAGGTCGTCCTGTGCGCGTAGTAGTCGAAAATGAAATGCATTTAGTTGCTTGACTAGACTCCAATTTATCATCCTTCTAAATAAGACGTCGTAGCGGCCGTTCTTGCTTGCACGGCGCGTCTGTCATTTTCTCGCTAAGAGTTGCAAATCATTCTCTCGCAGTACACATCTGGAATAGTGTGCAGTGTTTACGCACAAAACAGTTATTCAAGAAAAGTTGCTTTTGCGGACTACTTTGTGGTGCGTAGGAATGCTCTTCTCGAAGTTGCGAACCGTCCCTCAGCCTTTGGCTGCGCTCGGACGGAAGCTGAAACGAAGTATACGCCTGCTGAAGAAACCTAATCAAATATGCATTTAAGTTATACTCCTTCAGCTGACACCCGACATCCTGGCTCACATTATTGTATGCTTCCTTGATGTAAAAAGAACTAACCATAACGGAGTTTGGTTCTTCATTGCTATTTCTATACATTGTGTAGTGACGAATAAGTTATCTTCAAGTCTTTTATCCCTTCGGAATCCGTTTTGGACCTCCTCCAGTATTTGCATATCTTCTGCCCATTCTTCCATTCTCCGCTTTACTATCTGCATAGAGAATCTATGTATAACTGAAGTTTCCATTATTGGGTGATATGTCTTAATGTTGTCTTTGTTTACTTTATACAGTCTCATTTTACTTAGTTTGCAATACTGGGTACCTCTCCTCCCATAAGTATTTGATTAATCGCATGCAGTACGTAACTTCAATTTGCTTGTTTTTCCTAGTGTCTTAATGAGTTCCATGGGTATGTCGTCTGGCCTGTCGCTATATCTGCTGGAACCTTACTTTCTGCTTTATCCCATTTTCTTGTGGTCGTCTCCGTTGTAACACGATTCTACTCCTCCTATACACCGCTGCTGTCAGTGTTATCTACTGTCCTCCTCTGCTCAAGCTCTGAGAAAGCCTCTTCGACTGACCGCCTAATATATTCCCGTGCCTCCTCTCCCTCTACTCTACTCCCCTCCTGTGTGGTCAGTATGTGTTGGAAACCTTTTGTCTTTCTCCTCTGCGCTTTAATGTGCTCCCAAAACCTGTTTTCCACTTACCTATCTTTTTCATTTATTTCTATCATTCACTGCATTCCTAAAACAGGTCAAACTAAAAAGTTTGACCTGTATTAAAGCTGATGTCTCCCTTTTCCGCTCTTGAAAGTTCTCACATTTTGATGCTACTTCAGCTCGAAAGGCATGATTTTTCTTTGCCCACCTATGCTCCCTAAATGCCTTTTAGCGCAGCATTATGGCTCCTTTGATCTTCTTATCCCATCAGCTTTTTTGGTTTGTGTCTTCGTTTTTGCTTTCATCTTTGTTTAATTCGATGCTTCTCTAATTATATTTTAAAGATTCCTTTTAAATCTTCATACGTTCATTCTCTTCCTGGATAGATACTTTTAGATACTTGTTGTATTTGAGCTTCATTTAGTTTCAACTTACCCCCTCGTTCTTGAGCTTGTTCTGGTTCGGATGCGCAAAATGTAATCTCAATTCTTTTGTGGTCACTCTAAGCTTATTGTACCTTCCTCATCTATTTCCATACTTCCTAGCTTGTCATACAGTTTGTGGGACATGAGGCAATATTTTATTGTTGAGTGTGAGTTGTTTCGTTCCCTCGTTGTTTTCCCGTCGCATTTTACTTGTGCATAAACTAACACTAGGTCCAGGGCATGACAGAAATTTTCTAGCAACTTTTCGGTTGTATCTGTGAATCCGTCAAACTTTTCCAAGTGGGCATTCATGTCTCCTATGATAGTTATTTCCTGATTAAGGCTAATTTCTCTGATGTCCCTCAATATACACGTAAAGTGTTCTGTATTTTCTTCCTTTAGACATTTCCTGTTTTCAGGTAAGCAAAACCCCAAAAGAGTGTTCAAGCCTGTTACCCTACCTTTCAGCCATAGGTGTTCTCTGCAGCGTTCTTTCTCTCTTTCCTAGTCCTGTCCTTTAACTAACATGCCTGGACCTCCGCCTTTGCGTTCACCTCCCCATCCAGGAGTATGCTGGCATGTACGGCGGTTCCTCCGCATTTCTAAATTGAGTTTCTGCTGCCCATACACTGTGAAATTTCCAGCCTCTAATTGATCACCAATCTCCTCCCACTTTATTTTGTTTCTACCTCCCTGAACGTTTATGAAGTCTATGTTAAGCCAATTCTTTCTCTTATTTCTACGGGGCTTCCTCCTGCTCTCCCTTCTGCTCTTGCGGTACTCACACTCAGGAGCTTCCCACGACTCTGGTACTGGGACATATGCTACTCCCACATCTACACCAATTCCCTTCGGGCTCCGAGGGCCCCCAAAAATCTTCGATATGACGCCCAATCCTACCCCTGTCGTGCTACCTCTGGCTCAACTGTAGTGTGACTAACTTGAGCAGTGTTGCCTGGTCGCCAGACGAAAATTATCAACATTCGTAAATTGATCATTGCAATAACTATAGCTCTAAAGATCGCGAAACCTCGTGTATATGTTAAGTAACCTTCAAGCATTATTTCAAGAATGATCTACCCATTTAAGTTTTGTATCCTGAACCCTCTACAGCAGCCAGTATATTATGAGTTATGAAGCACATTAAAATAAATCGACACAACATGCTCGAACGTGTTTCATTTTGAAATTACAACTTTAAGCTACCTGAAACAGAGAATTGTCCTAGCACGACATACTCGCTCAACAGTGTTCCGTTTCCAAAAAGCGTATTTATATACAGGTACTCACAAGCCACAAGACGATGGTTCTCTTATACTCTCTCTTTTCAATTGATGATACAATGGGCAACGATATCACATGCGTTTCCATGAAACGAATGCGAAAAAATACTCAACAAAAATGGGTCGAAGAACTCGTTTCGTTCCAGCGAGGCGTCCAAACAAATCCGTAAGCGTTGTTTTCAAATGCCTAATATTTGCGCTTAGTCTCGTAATATACCTAGAAGTGCGCATTAAACAGCAGTACGTTCTTCCTATGACTATCTGTGGAATTCAATGCGTATTAAGCGCACCCTATTCAGTTAATCAATATAGAAACTCTATGCTCTCTCCAATTGGGTGCTTTCACATAACGTCAATCCGCCATTTTTTCCGTTTTCTTGTTTTTTTTGTTTTTTTTTTCCAGACAGATTAATTGATTTAAAGGATTACATTGCAACCTCTTGAGATGTCAACATTGTGAGACTTGTAAGCTTCTGAGCACTACGCATTTGAGGGTTCATGTGAATCCTTAAATGCTCGCCTTCGGCCAACGTTACTAGAATACTCAGTTGGGAAACTGCCATAGAAGCCGGCTTTAAAAAAGTGGCTCCGATCCGTACTCGAGAACAGAACTATTGGCAATCGCAACGCCGTCATTTCTTTCGCAGCGGCCACTCCGGGAACAACACGGCTGCACGTACTGGTTCAGGTCGAGTCGCACAGGGCCGGTGGCGCCATCTCGAAGGGCTTTGGTAAAGGGTGGCGCTGTTATCGTATTTAGTTTGGTCTCGGTGGACGCCAGCAATCCAGGTTTCAAAGGTGAGTTTCCCAACTGAGTGTTTTAATAACGTTGCCTTCGTCACACACCAAACAGCTCATGGCTACAAAATGGTGGACGAAATAACATCGGTGCAAACACCCTATAACAAAGAATGTTACTTCTGAGTGAAACAACTTTAGCCGCAAAGATTATCTGGTGAATAAACACGGTAAAGACCTCTGTATAAAAATACGTCAGAATATTCTTGGCTGATTCTGCGGGGGAAGTTTAGGTACTGCATCACTCGTTACGTAGGGTACTTTATTAACTTGGTCGAATATATGAACGTTATTATCTCAAAGCATACTTGACCGTCACAAAATGCTTGGGTCTCATTGCAGAATTAACATCACGCTATACCTCGGAGCCAAATCACACAGAGGCTATAAATACCCGAACATTATCTACAGTCTCAACAACGGTAAGGTTCTACTATTAGAAGCTTTTAAAGGCTGGCTCACACAGGCCCGTTTTCTTACGTTACGTCACGTTACGTCACGCTACGAAAAGTCATTGGGAAATCTGTGCTTAGTACTAATCCTGGCTACCAATTGAAGGAAATAGCCTGGCACGCGACATTCTAAACATTAATGTTTCGGCGACGACGAGCTAGAACGGTGAGTTACCGTGGCAACCAAGGACACAAGGCTCGTCGTAACGTAACGTCACGGCCACTCGATTTCCCCTGCTGGTCCGGCCTGCCGATGTTTTTCCGAAAACAAAAGAGCGAGCGTGAAAGGAGAACTTCTCCCATTTTCCGTGGGGGCGCTGCATATGGGTGAGCGGTCTTGTGAGCTGAAAGCTATACTCTGTTTCACCTTATGTTGTACCGCAGGAAAGTCTGTAAGCCCGAACTATAACTCCTATAGCCGCTTTACACACGCGCCAGATTACAGCCGCCATTGCTGACCTTCCTTTGTCTTATGGAGATACCGAGCCACTGAAGCGGGTGTTGACGAGCCTCCAGAAGGGCCATTGCTGGGTAGAAGGACGCAATGGAATTTAAGATGGCCATATCCTGGCCTGATATGGTAATGATGAAGTGAAGAAAATTCAATAAGAGGAAACAAAAACTAAAGCCAAATTTGGGGGTTTTACGTGCCAAACCCCCCGCAGGGGGCACCTGTGAAAGCAGGTGTTTGGAGAGTGGCGTCTCCACGGACCCCGAGCCATGCGGGTTCGCCCGCTCACGTCTGGCTGTGCGTGGCTTTCCCGTGTCTGGGGAAAAGGGAATCCTGGTGGTTGAGCTGAGCCCGGGGCAGGTTTGGACTCTTCGGGGCCCCCCGGGCGAGGCAATACACCACTTCGGCCCCCGCTTCTCATAGACGGGAGTCCTGGTAAGGCCCGGCCAGGATGATTCAGTCTAGTCGCCTTTTCTTCTACTATCCCCTCCGATCTTTCGCTTTTACCTTTCCTGTTTCTTTCACTTCCTTCTCATTTCTTTTGCTCCTTTTTCACCCCTCTTTGGCGGCAAGGGCTAACCTTGGGTGGCAATGGACCTCTGTCTTGACCCACACTTGGGTATAGTTTCCCGGCAGCACTGTTAGCGTAACGTCTCCAGCCAAGCCCTTCTTGTTATGGTGCGTTACCTAACCCCTTGTTGGGCTCGGTGGTGGGCGGTGCACCGCGGATTCCGAACACTCTTTGCCCTTTTATGGCGCCCCACCCCTCCAAACCCCGTTCAGGGCACGCCCTCAAAAGGCGCTGCCCCGAACAAAAAACCATCGACAAAGCATGTGAAGTAGAAACGTTTACTAAGTTTTTCATCGTTCATTCGCTGGATGAACAAAGACCTGTTTCCAAGCTGTCACCTTTTATTGTAGCAAAGGTGCTAGAAAACCTTGTAGGGTTTTCCTACAAGGCTAAAAAACAGCACACTGGAGACCTTCTCGTGGAAGTGAATACAAAAAAACAAAGTGACGCACTTCTTAAACTGACTACCATCGTTGACGTGAAGGCGTCGGTGAGTCCTCATCGCACACTAAATACTGTCCGTGGAGTCCTCTCTGAGGGCGACTTCTTGCACACTAGTGAGGAAGAACTCCTCGAGGGACTCCAGGGTGCCGGTGTCGTCGCCGTGAAACGCATTATGTTTAGGAAAGATGGCGAACAAATTCCTTCGAGACATGTTATCCTGACGTTTGAAAGACATACCCTCCCCGAGACAGTCAAGGCAGGATACTTGAACTGCCGCATTCGCCCGTACGTCCCCAACCCCCAGCGGTGCTTCCGTTGCCAGCTTTTTGGTCATGGAACACGCAGCTGTCGAGGGAAGGAGACGTGTGCGAAGTGCATGCGGTAGTCAAGGTCACGTTTCCGATACTTGCGAGGCGGCTGCGGCCCTCTGTGCTAACTGCGGTGGACCACATCCTGCTTATTATCGTGCATGTCCCTCTTGGAAGCTAGAAAAGGAAATTCTTACCATCAAAGTTAAAGAAAACATATCATACCCAGAAGCCAAGAAGCGGTTCTCCTTTTTGTCAAAGGGGAGTTTTGCCGAGGTGGTGCGCAGGGGCCCTGCACCACGCTCGGAGTCAAGGGCCACCCAGGTCTCTCCCGAGATCTTGGCGGCCGACTGCAGGGCCCCAGCTCCCCGACTGGAGCAGCGGCTGCTTCCTCCAGCCCCTGGTGGTAGCAAGCGTGCTGCTCCTCCTTCCAGGGACAGGCCGGCAGCAGCCGCGCCTGCCCCCTCTCCTAGGTCGCCCCATGGGGAGATGGAGCGAGCTTCTCGCTCTTGCTCGCTAGAGAGGGCCCCCCTACCGAAGGAGCAGCATGGTGCCCATGCAGCTCCTGTGAAAGGAGGGGACCAGACGAGCTCAGACGACCCGTCGCCCAGTTCGTCTGCAACCCCCCCAGCCGGTCGTGGTCGGGGTTTGCCCCCCCGCACAGCTGGCCGGACAAGTGCTGTTCTAAAAACAACGGATACCTCTCAGGAGGTGGAGATGTCAACAGATGCTGACAATCTGTCCACTCCTGGGTCCGACCAGGACAATATGGAGTGGGAAACGCCCTCCAGTAAACATAAAAAGAATAAGAAGCTTGTTGTCCCACCCAAATGATGATCCCAATGTCTTCCACCTAGTTTGTGTTGACTTTACAGTCTTACTTATTTTACTAAGTTTATTTTTCAGTTTTATATTTACATGCCTTTTATAGATGACTAAGTTACATTTTATGCAATGGAACTGTCGCGGTATTTTAAGAAATATTGATGATGTCAACTATTTTATGGATCAGCTTCGACCCATCGCTCTCGCCTTGCAAGAAACCCATCTTAACACTAATTCTTTTAATATTTTAAGACGTCATCAGGTTTTTAGAAAAGATCGCCCCTCTTCCACCCCTTCTGGTGGTGTTGCAGTGGTCGTACAGAGGGGAGTTGCTTGTTCTCAAGTCCCCCTCTGCACGCCCCTGGAAGCTGTTGCAGTACGTCTCCTTCTAGACCGCCTTGTAACAATTGTTTCCTTATACTTGCCACCTAATGCTCCTTTAAACCTTCAAGAGCTTCAGGGACTTATAGGACAGCTCCCACAACCGTTTTTAATTTTGGGGTATTTTAACGCTCATCATCCTATGTGGGGTAGTACCCGTCAAGACTCCCGTGGTGGTGTGATTAAACGTCTTTTATTGTCTTCGGGGTTATGCCTTCTTAATGGGAGAGAGCCAACGTTTTTTAGTGCGGCACACAACTCATTTACATCCATCGATCTTTCTATTGCTTCACCTTCATTGCTTTCTTGCTTTTCCTGGAAGGTTCTTCATAACCCTTTTGGTAGTGATCACTATCCAGTTGTTTTAGAGAGTACCGTTCCATTGCCTAATCTTTTAAAGAGGGTCCCTAGGTGGAAATTAGACAAGGCAGACTGGGCGCTTTTTAATCTTCACTCCACTTTAGATCCTTCGCTTCTTTCGTCTATGTCCCCTGAGAACGCTACACTTTATGTTACTGAGCAGATACTAAAGGCTGCTCAGTAATCCATTCCCCAAACATCTGGTAATATACCCAAAACATGTAAACCTTGGTGGAATAAGGAGTGTGCCACAACCCGGGCGGACCAAAATAGGGCGTGGGGCAGATTTCGCAGATACCCCACTTCAAGCAACCTTGTTGAGTTCAAGCGACGAAAAGCCAAGGCTCGTTGGACTAGGAAGCAGGCAAAGCGGAAGTCGTGGATGAAGTATCTCTCTTGTTTAACCAGCTTTGTCCCAGCCAAGGAGGCCTGGGACAGATACAGGAAAGTAAATGGGGATTACAGGTGCTTTGCCATTCCAACGTTTAATGCTCCTTCTTCGTCTCTAAAAGATATTGGTAACATGCTTGGGGAACATTTTTATAATTCATCTAGTTCGGCCAACTACAGTGTTTCCTTCGGACAGTTAAAAGTTCGTGCGGAACGGCAAAAGCTTGTCATGTCAGGAGGAAACTCGGCATCGTATAACCAACCATTTACGCGATGCGAGCTTGAGATGGCTCTTAATGTGAGAAAGCTCTCTGCCCCTGGTCCCGATGGAATTTATTATGAAATGCTGCGCCGCCTTTCTCCAGAATCCCTTGAAAACCTTCTCCTGTTTTTTAATCTTTTGTGGGAAAAGGCATGTTTCCCTCAGGCTTGGAAACACGCACATATCATCCCCCTCCTAAAGCCTGACAAAGACCCCTCACAACCATCAAGCTATCGCCCAATTGCACTCACAAGCTGCCTTGGGAAAACATATGAAAGGCTTATAAACAGACGACTGGTCTACATGTTAGAAAGCCAGAGGGTCTTTGATAACAATCAATGTGGATTTCGCCAAGGTCGATCTACCCTTGACCACTTAGTTCGCCTTGAGACTGTGATACGTGAGGCATTTGTAAACAGGCAGCACTGTGTTGCGGTTTTTTCGACTTAGAAAGGGCATATGACACAGCGTGGAGGTATGGGATTCTCCGAGACCTGTATGCCTGTAATATCCGGGGCCGTATGCTGCGAAGCATAAAGGAATATCTGACAGACAGGACTTTCCAAGTTCGTCTCGGCTCAGCCCTATCTGACTCCTTTGTTCAAGAAAATGGAGTCCCTCAAGGGGGTGTTTTAAGTGTGACTTTGTTTTTGCTGACAATGAATTCACTCGCACGACTGCTGCCACCATCTATTTCGTATTCTCTTTATGCTGATGATATACAGATTTCATCATCGTCCTGTAACCTTTCTAGTTGTGAGCGCCAGTTGCAGTTAGCCATAAACAAATTGTCCAAGTGGGCCGACGAAAATGGGTTCAAGTTCTCTGCTTCAAAAACGGTCTGTGTTCCTTTTTCTTTGCGACGCGGGCTGTCTTTGGATCCCTCCCTGAAATTAAATGGAACACCTATTCCAGTTAAAAAGGAGCACCGATTTCTTGGTGTAATATTTGATAAAAAGCTTAGCTTTATTTCCCACCTTAAAGCTCTGAAGCAAAAATGCCTTCAGTCCACAAACCTTTTGAAAGTTTTATCTCACAAGTCTTGGGGGTCTGATACAAAATGTATCCTGCAGTTATACAACGCCCTTGTACGATCCCGTCTTGACTACGGTGCAGTAGTGTATGGATCGGCTCGGCCTTCTGCCCTTAAAATGTTGGACCCAGTTCACCATCTCGGCTTGCGACTGGCAACAGGAGCCTCCCGGACGTCGCCCGTCCTCAGTTTGTATGCAGAATCCAATGAGCTGTCCCTGAACAAACGACGTACATATCTTAGTCTAACATATGCTTATAAGATTCTGGCCGACCCCCAGCATCCGACATACTCTTCACTTACAAGGTCAAGGTTCTTTCGCCTTTTTGAAAATAAACCAAGCATTGTGACTCCGTTAAGCTTCCGTATTGAACATCTTCGCACTTCTCTGCACCTTCCTCTGGGCCAGGTCGGCCTCGTTAGGAAAGTCAACGGTATTCCACCTTGGAAAGCACAGCGAGTTGAATCTGACTGGTCTCTTGCGAAGTTCAACAAGCACGGCATTTTCCATGCTGTAATTATGCAAGAGTTTGGTGAACTGCAAACTAAGTATGATGGTTATCTTCATGTTTACACAGATGGTGCTAAGACTTCTTCTTTTGTCGGTTGCGCTGTGTATTCAGAACGCTTTTCCAAGGTTCAACGACTCGATTGTGTCGCCAGCGTTTTTACGGCGGAACTCTATGCGGTATCAATGGCGATCGAATGCATTATCAAGAGGAAAATACTGAGGGCGGTCCTGTTTGTTGACTCTCAAAGTGTGATTCTTGCAGTTTGCTCTCTTAAAGACACTAAAAATATGCTTGTACAACAGATTCAATATAAACTTAACACTGCTTTGCATGGAGGTCAAAATATAAAATTTTGTTGGGTACCCAGTCACATTGGCATACAAGACAATGAAGAAGCCGACAAGCTTGCAGGGTCTGCCGGTAACCTTCCACAATCTCTGTCCTGTTTACCCTATCAAGATATTAAGCCCTTGGTGAAGTCCTCGATTCTTCATTCTTGGCAATTGGAATGGGACATGGAGATCGGTAACAAGCTTCATGTTACCAAACCGGCTTTGGGAGTTTGGGAAAGCTCTTCATGCAAGAGCCGACTTCATGAAACGTTGTTGTGCCGTCTGAGAATCGGACACTCTTTTGTAACCCATAGGCATCTGCTTTCGGGAGAAGATCCACCAGTCTGCGATCAGTGTGGTGATAGGCTCACTGTTTTGCATATCTTGTGGTTGTGCCCTGGTCTTGAGCCCAAGCGCCGCATTCATTTCCCTGAATTTTTTCAACATCATATCCCATTTCATCCTGCTCTCCTTCTGGGAGAGAATCCTCTGGTCTCTTTTGAACGAGTAATAGAATTTCTTGGTAGTATTGGCCTTTTATACCGATTATAGCTTTTTGGTTAGCTGTTTTGTAAAACCTGTTTTATAGTACAAACCTTCAATTAGTTTGGCGCAGATGGCCTCGTAGCTATTGCGCCATAAACCCCCAAAATCTCTCTCTCTTTACGTGCCAAACCTACGACGGGCATCTGGCACGCCCCAGCGGAGGACTGAGGATTAATTTCGACCACCTGGGGATCTTTTGACGTGCAACCGAAAGCTCGGTTACACGGCGCCTTCTCCGCAATAAGCCTCCGTCATATTGCGGGCACCTCGGTCGGGATTCGAACCCGCCACCTGGGGATCCGTAGGCCGGCTCTCTCGCCTCGGAGCCACCGTGGCGGCTAGGAAAACAAAAACTGAAGGTCAGTTATGGCGGCGCCCATGCACAGCTGCTGCAAAGCGTCTATATTACAGTGGTAATAGAAACGTGGCAACAGTTACGGGAACAAGAAAACGACAATTCGCTCATACTGCCAGCAGAATGGAGCTTTAACGCGCAGCCTGCAGCTGAGTGATCTTTTCGCAGAAAGATTAATCATGTGCTTTTATTCTACACAGATTTGTCATATCATTCATGCAAGCTGGCACTCGTTTGAATTGAGACTTGCGGCTTCACGAAAAAAAAAATCTAAATAGGCACACCGGGCCGGGCCGGGCGTACTGCTCCCCTCTCACTATATTTCGTCTTACCTTAGCATGGACTAGCCTTTACTGCCTTGACTGGAGCACTCGCTGCACGAGCGCTCATGCAGCCGCCGAGGCTTCCTTCGAAGCAACTATCTCGCGCTTTTAGCACGCACGGCTAACAAGTACATACTATATAGACGCTTTCAGGCAGCTGTGCATGGGCGCCGCCATAACTGACCTTCAGTTTTTGTTCCCTAGTATTCCGTTCGCTCCACTTCATCATTACAACAGCAGGACCGGTTATTGCCATTTTAAGTGTTACTGTGTCCTTCTCCCCAGCATATGCCCTTCTGGAGACTCGTCAAGGCCCGCTTCAGTGGCTCGGCATCTCGGTAAGACAAGAGAAGGTCGGCTATGGCGGGTCAACCTGGCGCGCGCTGAAAGCGTCTATAACTCGATATGCTCCCCCGAAAGGAACTCTATCTCTCACCGATAACGAGCGCCACGGCTGGCGCTGGGTAAAGTAGAACTATCGCTCTCACCGGCGGAGTGAGGCATACGGCAGGCCGCTCCCAAGGGGAGTCCTAATCGAGTGGTCGTGGTAACGTATATGAGCTCGGTAGAACTTTTAAAGGCTGGTTCACACTAGGATGCCTTCAGTTCACACAGCACCGTTTTCTTACGTTACGTCTCAGTCACCGAAGCATTCGCGCCTCGAATGTCGCGTGCCAGGCTATCTCCTTGAAGTGGTAGCCACGCTTAATCCGAAGAACAGATCTCTCGGTGACTTTTCGCAACGTAACGTAACGTAACGTAAGAAAACGGGTCTGTGAACCAGCCTTAACCCATCTCTTTTCTATGTTGACAAACAGCTCACCAATAACTTTTTTTCTTTAGCAGGTACCAAACCCTATCTGGCATCGGTTGCATATACAGACTACATGACCTGTGCCTTAATTAGGGTACTGCGATTCCATAATGGACGAGAAGGTAAACCGGAAGTGGCCAGACTTTTTCCCACTACATGAAATCATGACTCCTTCAGAAAGTTGCCTATCCCGTTTCTTTCGGACGAAATATCTGAAGGGTGAAACATACCAATACATCGACAACACCATAATCTAATGCACGGGATGCCTGACGGGACTCCCTCAGTTGTCCCACTCTTATCTACAAAGGCTGCGGTTCCAAAATGGGTAGCTTAGAGGGAAATGCCCTTTAAGCTACCCCTTTAACGCTACACTGCTGGTTGCAGTATAGCGTTAAACGCGATAAATAATAGTTTGTTTTTACGTGTACCTAATGGGGTAACTTAATAACGACATTCGGTGGCGGTCGTCTTAATTACTGACCCTTTTCTTCTTCAACGTCGTAGGAAGGGTGCCAGTGTTCTAAACACTGGCACCCGAGACTAGAGCCACTCGATATGGCAGCGTAGCTGCCAGAGTAGCGCCACGCTTTTCCCTGTGCCGCCTCTCGCCGCGATTGGTCACACGCGGTACCATAGCAACGAGCTGAGCTGGCTCGGTTTCCATAGCAACCGAGTGACGAGTCGTCACGTGACCTCTCAAGAGCCGTGATGTCATCGGTAAGATGGCAGCGTCCAGAGCTGGTGGATGCGAGTTCGTTCGGTGCGCGGAGTCGTGATATGCCGCAGCTTGCCGACGATTTAGGGCTTCTTCGTGCTTTCTGACGTAGGTATAACGTGAAGATCTGAAAGAATGATACTTTATACCCTTTCTGTGCAAGATCGCTCTAGATATTAGCACCTGTGCGACAGCATCAGTAATATCACCTTAGCGGTGCTCGGGTTTCCGGATGTGTTTGAGGATCGATAAGACATGCAATGAGGATCGATAGCATGCAATTTTCGCATTCTCTTAGTTTTATTTGAACATTGGAGTGTCTGAGAATCGATGCAAAATCTATGCGTCGCATGTTGGGCCTTGGGGAATTTGTTTTTGCCCCAGGTAACCGCATGATCACAAACTTTTAGCGAGGAAGCTCCTGCGATGTTTACGTTTTGTACTAATCAATCACGGAACCTGGGTTCAATCCCCACCCCTGCCCGTTTCGATCTGGATGAGCATCGTACCGGCCTGCGGTTGTGTATCACTACTGCGTGGTGCACGTTAAAGACCTATAGACCCCAGGCTAGCGGTTATACTGCATTGGCTAAATTGCTCATATACAGCGAGTGACTCGTCGCACTTTGAAATGGCTGACCAACTACACGCTGTATAAATATTCACAAAACTCCCAAGCATACTAATCAACGATTTTACGATATGCGCCACGCAAGTTCGTCTGCTTCTTTTAGTAGGGGTTGTGGTGACGTCAGAAAGACGCCGAGCTCTGATTGGTTCTGAATAAAGAATAGTGGGTAGGCCTCAAGGCAGCTTGCTTTTAGGTCTACCCCCTATCCTTCAATCGAAGCCACTCAGATCTTGGCGTTCTGACGTCACCACAACCCCTGCAAAAAAAAAAAGCAGACAAACTTGCGCTCCAGTACATAGCTTTTAGGATAAACTTTTCGCATTTTCCTAGCTTCCTTTGAAGGTCTTAATTTCTGAGAATCATAACGAAAGGTATACGGCGCGTGTAGGGCCTATGGGAAATTGTTTCAGCCCTGGGTCACTGAATAATCACAGCATTTTTTAGCGAGGAAGCTCCTGCGATCTTTAACTTTTTTTACTAATCGCCAATTTTACGAATTGGCAGTTCTGAAGATTTTGATATAACTTGCTTTCGTTGCAATAGCTTGCATTCGACCGCAGTGTTTTTTGGTTTGTTTTTCAAGTGAAAAACTGGCGTTTGCTCAAGTGACGTATATGAAATGTCCTGCTATATAACAACGCATCAACACATACCATTAAACTTAGATGCTCAGAGGTGTGTTCGTCTTTGTAATTAACAAGTTACAGACGTATTTATTTCTTACGAGTGTAATATTTATTTTCTGTAGCTGGGCCCATTTTGTGCTCCTTAATGTCAGTGTGCTTGGTTCCAAATATCCTCTTTACAATGCCTACAAAGGCCAAAATGACCTCAGCCGACCCCAACTCACGCATTGGACACGATAACTGCGACACTCGGATGTATGCGCTCGTCAGCAATCAATTCGTCCATGGATATTTGAATTCACTTTCCTGGCCAATGAGTGTCCTGACAAAACTTAACATCACTTGCGAATGCCAAGTTCTACGGTGTGCTTAAAAAGCACGGTGCCCTAGCATTTCACGACTGCGTGATTTCACAGTTCTCTTTTGAGTTGAAGATTATAGGTAAGGAAGAAGTTTAAAAATAATTTTGTGGCCCCTTTAACACGGACATGTGTGCTACACCAGATAAAAAAATATTGACTTAATGAATGCCGGTAAACTTCCGAACGACCATTTGGCTTGTCGGCAAGAACACCTCATATCCGGCGTCCGTCTCTTTTGATGGCGTCAACGATTCCCTAGAGACCACCATGCCGTCCTTCTTGGTTGAACCCCGTCGACGTCGCTCCTCACCAGTCGGTGAGAAAATCTCATCTTGAAGGGATGATCGGGTCTTGAAGTATGATGCTAAACATATACTCGCTCACTATGGGGCAGGCGAGCAGCAGTCATGTCCCGAGCCAATCGTCCTGCCGTGGCCGGCGTAATCGAAATTTTGTTCCATCGGAGCGAAGTCCGAAAGTACTAGGACGGTACGTTCGTCCCACGAAGCGGCCGCCATCCCGGTGGCGCCGAAAACCACTCGCCTTGTCCGTGCACGTACGGTACCATAGCAGCTCTCGTCGCCCGACAGTCCCCGGGCTGCAAACCGTCTCACTTTTTAGAAAAAACAGGCACCGTTCCTCCAGAGGTTCTTGCCGTACCGCGATGCCAAGCGTCTTATAGGTCTTTTACCGCCGAATTCATAGATGTCACTCCGAGTCATGCCAAGTGAAGGGCGACCCTTCACTTACAGAAGGGCGGTTGAAGGGGCACTTCCACTTGAAGTGAGGTTTACCATTCTGAAATGGCACTTCGCTTTCACTCGAGCAAGTGAAGGGAGCCCTTCTACGGGATGCGTCCGGGAGCGAGAGTAGAAAAGAAATTTATATTTATACTTTGCGTAAGACCACAAAAGTAAGTTAATTCTTAGTGTGTTTACATAATTTGTGTTTATAAAGAAATATTAGCACATAACAAACATGTTGCGATTTCAGAAACGAACGTAGCTCGTGCATCTTCTTTCAAACTAAATTGGCCAGCAATATAGCCATCAATATCCATGCTGAATACATTCCAAGTCCTTCCGATATCCTTGTTCCAACGCCACCACCGCCGTTGCCTTTTCGTGTTTACTTGCCCTGCTGGTTTGTTCTTTTAAAGTTTTCATTTCCGTAGCGTGTAATGGATAAGGCCAAGGCACCCGCTGCGCGGTTCACAGAGATCGAAAAGGCAATACTGATGGAACTTGTAATGACGTACAAAAAAATCATCGAATGTAAAAAGACCGACGAATCGTCGTTAAACAAAAAAAAGGCAACTTGGATTCGACTCTGCAACGAGTATAACTGCAACCACGGTGTATATCGACGGGACGTGAAACAGCTAAAAAAATGGTGGGAAAATGTGAAGGCCAAAGCGAAGAAGGACCATTCCAAAGAAAAAAACAAGGTCCACAAAACAGGCAAGTCTCTCGTTCAGGTTTCTCATCGCGCTGAAAGTGCCTCGGAATGAGCGATGGGTCACATTTGTAGCCCGAACTGTCGGTCACAAATTCGCCCTTGTTTCGAACTGTTGTTTCTGGAATACCTGTCATGGGGGATGGAGCGTGAACGTGCGCAGACAAGTCGGTTATGCAACCTAATGCTGTCAGTTGAATACCGTAGTAACCTGACAATGGAGCAGCATGAACGGAACCGCAGCACGATATAATACTACCGTTAAATCAGTAATTCTACTTGCAGTTTTTGCGGCGGACATGTACAGTAGATCACAACTGACAACACCCAGATGATCAATATTTCATTTCATTACGCATGGGGCAGAGGGGATGAACATTCCCTATCAGCAAATGCATGCCTATAAATCGGGGTATATTTAAAAAGGAAAACAGATCTTAGATAACATTAGAACTTGGAGTGCCTAGATTGACTACTGTTTGCTCCTTTAGGAGGGGGGCCACCTGGCAAGCCAATGAGCGCCACCTCCGTGCTGGTTGGGGCGGTGGCCTCACACGTGTTCAACAGACAGGAAAATATGGAGGACAGCGATGGGGCACCCTATCTGCCCCCGGTCTGCAGCCTCCCAGTTCTCCGACTACTGCAGCCGATGCTGGACGGCGAGGAGGACCCTCTTGATGCCGACTTGGGTAGAATGCTTGAACCGTTTCCATGTCTTGACCTGTACTTTCTAAACTGGTACCTTTTCGTCTTTACCCACTGATCTTCTCATGGATATGCATGGATACGGTTATAGATCATAATGAGTCTGCCTTCAGAAATGTTTCACCTGGTGTTCCTCAGTAGTACATACTGGCACCCCTACGTTTTTTAATAATCATGAATGACCTTGCAGCAACCATCTCATCTAATATTAATCTTGTTGCAGATGACTGTGTCGTCAATAACAAAGTAAAAAGTGTGCATGACAACATTCAATTTCAAGATAATTTAGTAAAAATGAACAAATGGTGCGAACAGCATGTACATTACTTATGTACAAGGTAACATATATCATTGCAGGGCTGGGTTCCATACAGCTTCAAAACAGTACATGGCAACTACTGCAGACTAACAATGACCATACTCCCCTGACAAAGAAACAAACAGCACAGGGTATTAAAATAATCATAGCATGATTTCTGCCAAGAAATATCTATACCAAGCACTCCAAAAGGTGGAAACGGTTAAGTGATCTAGTGGCCTAGTTTATGGCACAGGTTCAAAATGGATGAAAACATTGTTACACATTAGATCAGCAGCAGAAAAAAAAAATCAAATACTTCAAATTGCAACTGCATGAAAAACAAAAATACAATCTCAAACTTATAAAAACCCTTTCTACTCTTCATGTATGTCCCATTGTTCACTTCATAACTTCTACGTGTTCTTTCAATTGCAGAGGAGCCCGGTTCACCAGCTGGGCCTGCCTCAGACGTCGGTGCACCACTGTCACCAGCAGCTGCCTGCATCGCTGATAGACCTGCAGCAGCCCCAGCAGCTTGCCTGATTAGCCAGACATCTACTGCAGGGTCACCAGCTCCTACACCTGCGGCTGCTGCAGCGTGCAACAGTGGTAGTGCGGCAGCAGCTGTGGGCAGTGGTGCCCGCCAGGTCGGAGGACGTATGGCGCTGCTGGAAAGGAGCCTCGCAGAGGAAAACGATATGAGGATGGCCTTTGTCCAGCAGGAGCATGCCCTGCGCTGCAACTTCCTTGAACAGGACCACCGCGACGCACTCAGCAAGAGAGCTGCGCTGCATGAAATGGAAATTAAATTGCGCGAGGACGAGCTGAAAAAAAGAAATGCCATTCACGAAATGGAGATGAAGCTCCTGTGTATCAAGGAAAACATACTGCTGCAGGAGCTGAGCCAGAAGGCTGCACAATAAATCATGTTCAAACTGCTATGCCTGCTTTACTGATGGTTCACTTTTAAAGTCAAACTGAAGTATCACACGCGCATAACGCCGTGGTACTCCGACGCAGCCGGGAAGTGCACCAGCCTTCGGAAGAGCACCCTCGCGATGAGCGTCGTCACCGTCCTCACTGTGCGGCAGACAGTCGGCTGGGAGACATGCACCAGGTCTCCCGCTACCACCTGGAAGGTCCCGGCGCCGTAAAAGCGAAGGGTGACCAGCAACTGGAGCAGGGGGGTGAGCGGCAGTCCTCGGTTGTCGCCGGTTTGCTGGAGAGGCAGCAGCGTCAGGAGTTCCCTCACCGTCGTCTTGGTAAAGCGATATCTCGCGAGGAACTGGCGGTCACTGTACAGCTCCATCGGGTTCAGGCGGTCCGATAGATTACGCCGCGGCACCGACGGACCGAGCGGGTACATAACGCCGAACACAAGGTCGCACGCACGAGTAGCGAACTCAAAAGACGCGATCCTGCGAGCGGCATCACTCCGATAACCCGGGTAACCCGCCATCTTTTGCGATGAAGGGAGGCTCGAGTGTAGTTGAAGGGCGGTGCCACCGCTTACTTGAATTTTTTCGAGAAAAGTCCGAGTGAAGTGCGAGGCGAGGGAGCGTTTCGAGTGAAGGGGGATTTATGAAACGTAATGACACCCACTCAAGGGCGTTGGAAGTTAAGTTCGAGTGAAGTGGGATCTATGAATTCGGCGGTTATACCACTTTTCAATGAACGAATGGAGATATCAACTAGACTACTAAGGTTGCCGCCCGGCGTCGCTAGAAGCACGATTACCATGGCAACCTCCCAGGCCCAAAATGGAGATCACTATCAGCGCTTCTGACGTCGTGCATCTAGATAATTTTGCGTCGTGTCGCTACTCTGGCAGCTACGCTGCCATATAGAGTGGCTCTACCCGAGACAGATGAGCGACGAAAGCTGTCGTTGCGCGGCGGTTGCCATATCAACAAGCCTTGACATGTGTCGTGGCAGCGCGGCATTGGGTCACGTCACAGCGATGATTGCTATACATGGCATGCATTGACGTCACATCAGCCGCCATTACTACGTACCATGCTCCCGTTCTCGTACCTTCTGCACCACACCTTTGACACCATCCAGTTTGGTATTCTCGGCAAGGCGTTCTGAGAAGAACAAACTCGATGGTACGAAATGTATACTGCTGAAAGTGCGGGCCCAGGAGCGTGGTACCGAGCAATGGCGGTAGGCACGGTGCCATATGACGCGACGTGCAAGGCGTGTATAGCCGCGCGACGTGATAGAAATGAGACCAGATATTGGACGGCAGCCTCTGTCATGTAGCAGACAGTGGCAGAATCATGCAGCCAGCGTCCCTTTAGCTGGAGTGTACTTTAACAGCCGTCGCCACACTTTGTATACATGGCGTAAGCTGGCGCTCATCCGTGCGCGTGCTGTCGCGTCGCGACATAAACACTACTGACGCATATGTTCATACGAGTAAAATGTAACTCTTGTTGTGGCCTCCGTGTTTTGTGCCATCAGCTCCTGCGGCATGCGAGCTCGCAGCGGGTACCCGGGTGTTTCCTACTTTTTTTATAACATTTTTTTCTGGCATCCTGAAAAATCGCGCACCCACATTTTAAACCGTTTTCTTCGTCGCAGGCGGAAGTTGTTGTGTTTTTTTTCGGGATTTAATGTATGTTACAAGTACACGCGTTTAATATGTACTTTATAAAACTTGATACTCTATTGTTATTTTGTAGTTTGTGAATCCTGAGTGAAGCTTTTCAAGCAGCGTGGTATACATATGGAACAGCACAGTAGTGTGCAGTATATGCCCAAGAGTGGGAATTAGAAAGGTGATAAGATCTAGGACATGCCAAGTGTAAAATTGGAAAATGTGCAACGCGCTCCTTACGTATTCCATAGCATTAAGCGCCTTGCAGTTTCGGTATTTAGAACAGCACGGGTTCTACACACCAGCCCCTTTTCAGTGAAATTCATTGGTTTAGCTTTTGAAATGCTTTGAAAATGTATGCCGGCTGAAGTTCTAGCAAGTATTTCACATTCTTTACAAATCAGATGTTTTGAAAATGCGACGTCCTCTTCTGATATTGTAATTACTACCTATTCCTGCTTCGATTTTCACCTTATCTGTATCACTGTTCGTCCATATTTATTCACAGGGTGCCAGCTCTGGGCAGATGCTAAATATGTCAACCATGTTCCCGAATTTTGTCACTTTGCATACAGCTTGCTATGTGGAACCATCAAATATCACGTCTATGATGAAAGGAAATGCAAAGCATAAGGAATCTACTTCAAGTGGAGATTTTGCCAAGATAGTAAGGTGTTTCAATGTATTTTTCAGTGTTTTGTTTTCTATTTTAATAAACGATTAAATGTCAAAATGTTGCTGAAGTGGGACGACTTTAAAACCTTTCCCAATCACAGTCTTGACGGTTTTAAGACTGTTAACACTATCATGACGTCTCATCATGGTTTCGGGCGCCTCGGGAGGCTGGTACTATGTGGGAAGGGGGCGTGAGCTGCTACACTGTTGTGATCAGCCTATTCGCCTCTCCGACAGATTCAGAGCGGTCCAAAAAATGGTAATATCGGTCTGAAGATGCTTCCAATTGGCTGCGGGGAGCTTCCGGCGAGAACAAAGAAACCTGGAAAGGGCCTCCAATAAAGCGAGGAACACATGGAAGTGGTAGCCAGAATTAATGCACACTAGTGTCGATCCGAATATAGTGACCCTTCCTGAAGCACCACGAGTTATCAAGCAGTCTTTCCTGTAGACCTGATAGGACCTACTATTAGAGTCATGTCTCGGTAATATGGACCCCAATAAAACGGACACCCCGCATAGCGGACGAAATTTTCGGTGACCGATCTTTCGCCTTGCGATTTTGCCCCAATATAATGGAAACCCGCAGTCCTGACTATGGAGAGCTCTTTTGGGGACGAATTGAGTAAATACAGGCATTTCTGTCTCATTTTCAACGTCAATACGCCAATTGTTTCTTTTTTTTTTTTTTTTTTTGTAAGGTTTAAAGACGTTTTTGAGATATTGCCGCTCGCGCAGCTGGCCAAGTAGGCAGCGCGCGCGTGGCCTAACGGCTATTGTGCCTGCCTCCCACGCCAAAAAGCCAGAATTCAATTCCTGGGAGCGATGCATCTTTTGTTTTTTTATTGCAATTTATTGTTCTGGTAAAATCGAGAATCGTGCTGCTTGTTCGAGATTCGAATGTTCTACGCGTCGAACCTTCTACGCCGATCATTCCAGAAACCCACGCGTGTACATCAGACCTTCTCTGGCGAGCCATGGTCAGTTTCGCCTCAGCGTTCGATCCTGCTGTTTCGCCGCCTTCGACGCCCGCGACGCTTTGTTGTTATCTTTTTCCCCTTTTTGTTTTGGGCACAAGTCCGCCCCATTAAACGTTTAGTTTCCTCAGTTATTTTTTGTTTCATTACCTCTTCATTCGTGTCAATATCAGTGAATCCAAGAGGCCACAGTGTGCACCCGAACGTTCCTTGCGGGTTTCGCGATAAAAGCTGCGCACCAAATTATGTTTGTCTTTTTGGTGTGTGTTTTCCGTAATGGGTCATTACCGCTTGCTTGAGGTCGCGTATGAGTCAGTGTTGGCGGTGACGCGCTAAAAGTAACCGCGGTACCGGTAACACAATATTTTTTCGGTAACGTGTAACGTACTCGTTACTTTTTCAAAACGGTAGCGGGTAACGTACATACGTTACTTCACTCAAGTAACGAGTAACGTACTTACGTTACTTCATTCAAGTAACGGATATATGTTACTCGTTACATATTTTTTTCCCAAGACATAAAGAAAAAATACACTTAACTTTTGTCTTCGGGTTTGTATACTCCGTTTCACCTAAAGTCCAGAAGCAGCCAGTAAAGTTCGTTTCCTCTCTACTATGGAGGAAGGACAGCTTCTTTCCACGTAGCTCGGCGATGCTGACCGAAGGATCCAGGAGACGACGTTCAAAGTTGAAGTAGGAAATGTATTTACAGGTCGTTACAAATAGTTTGCAGCATGGTGCGTGCACAGCACGGAATCTCGTCGTTCGACACTCTTCAGTTAAGGCGCGTTCACACTCTTGCAACCGAGTACGACCGAGAAAGACTTCTTGGGACCGGATGCACTGAGCGGAGCTGGTCCTAAGAGATCGCAAGAGGCTTAAAAACCGGTTTGGTCTCTCTCGGTCGCACTCGGTTGCAAGAGTGTGAACGGGCCTTTACAGTCGAGCTCTACCCATTCTGCTTCGTCTCCCATTTTTGTCTCTTCATGAGACAAAGCATGGCAGGTTCAAACAATCACTCTCCCCACTCCCCCGTCACTTCACCAATCGTGTTTCGATATCACTTTCCCAAATTCCGCCCAAGTAACGCACGATGTCCTCTCCCTCGGCATGGCAAGGTCACCCACCCGGTTCCAGATGCCTTTTCCCGATTACCGGACGGTCGTCGACCCTCTCTACCTCCTTTTAGCTGGCAGTTTAGGAAGGTCCGCGTTTCGGGGAGCCGAGGCGCCGAGCCGATCAGTGGCGTCCCCAACTCCCCTGCTTTTGTCCCGCGAAATATACTTACGAGGGCTGAGAATTGCACCCCAGGGTCCGCCAAAAGTCAGCGGCCTTACACAGCCGACGCTATGAGCTGATGGAACCAATTAGACCGCGTCAAAAGTGCACTATAATGGTGTTTGTCATGTTTCTGTGTGCCCTTAAAATCGAAAGAATAAAAACGTGGAGGACAAGCACAGGACAACCACGTTCTTTCATTTAGCAACAACGTTTATGCCGGGCGTTTTTATGCATTCGATTTTAAGTACAGATTTTCAACTCGCTCGCTTTTACTACCAGTCTTTCTGTGCGTGTTCTATCGCCGCTAAACCAGTCATAAACAAAAGAGGCCCAGTGGCTTGCGCCTTTGACGCTGCTCGATTGCTCCCATTAACTCCTAGCGTCGGCGGCGTCTGGACGTAAGTTGAAACGAAGTGTGTGCCATTTTGTCCGGGTTACCCACGCTACACCGCACGTCTCGTTTTTAATATTTTTGAGGCGCCAAGTCATTAATTATTGCGCTCATTCCACTTGCCTTTCAGCTTTTGCATGTCTTTTCTCCGCGCAAAAAAGTCCCACTTTAGAAAAACCCCAACGCGCACACCCTTTGGTCAAATGTCAGAAAACGTTGCCCCCCCCCCCCCCCCCCCAAATAAAAAAGAAAGAGAAGCAGTTGTTGTCGTTAATTTATAAATAAAGGTAACGCAAAAGTAACGTTCGTTACCTTATATCCGTAACGGTAACGTGTTCCTTTTATCTTTATGTAACGTAGGTCGGTAACGCGTTACTTTTATTTGCAAGTAAGGAGTGACGTATTTCGTTACTTTTTTTTTTTTTTTCTAACGCCTGCAACACTGTATGACCTACAACCGGGAACAAAGAAGAATGAACCCTAAAGCAGCTAGGTCACCTCACTGTAGACGTCGTCACTGTTCGGGGAGCGGGAGAGAAGACACAAAGATAATTTCTCCTATACACTCCGTGCGACGCGACTGGCGCGCCGCCGCGCGGCCGGTACCGAAGGTAGGCAGTGAGCACCCCAGAGAAAACGAAACCGAAACCACGCCGCGTACGTTGGTACGCGTTGAAGTCTGAGTGGTGCTGTTGCGCTGGGTTCACAGCATGAAGTGCTGCCTGTGCTGCTTCATTAAGTGCTTCAATAGTTATGCGTCGTATCTCGTGGAGACAAAGTTTCACAGTCTTTCACCTCGCCGATGTTTTATGGGACAGCGACAACGATGGAGCCGTGCCGTACGACGCGAGAAATTTGGTGTCCCGATCATGTCTGCCACTGTGTCGGCACGGCTGACATATTCTACACTGCCGATTTGCGCTCTGCGTTTGTTTTCGTACCAGTAACGCCTACATGTGTCAGCGCCGATGGGACGAACTGAAATGCCATCCCACACTCGCAGGTAAGCAGTGCCAATTTCGTTGGAAGAATGCCCTCCAAAAAAAGTTTCGTCCCCATCGTACGTGTCGATGATATTTCCGGACATATATAACACGAAATCTGTACTTCACGAAGAAAGATTTGAACGGTAAAAAAGTGACAAATATAAATCTAAAGAAAACAACCATGAAACTCGGAATCACTGGAGAATCGGCGTTTGAGTATGGAAGTTTATGTGGTGTGCTTTCTTTCTTGATCAGCCTCCTTTTGGATGTGGAAACACTACACCCCGGGTTCTGTAGACAACATTTTTTTTTTCTCGGTTTTAGAGCCACCCATCGCAACGTCGTTCGGACTGGAAGTACCGTCCACTGGTCCCTTCCTACCTGTAAAGTGTGCACCTCCCACGATGAGTGGTATTTTCTGACAGCCTTTGACGGTCAAAGCCAGTTCCCATTTAGTTACGCCGCCCAAACTAAATTTCCACCTGGTTTCGCTATGCCAACTATTTTTGTTATAATAAGTGTTGTGACAAGTGACGGTCATGTCAAAGTACCTGTGGGCCGAAAATCAGCACCTCGCACAACAGGTTATTACACAATAGCTGACCGCAAAAGCCCTTGGCGGCCAAACCGTGCGTTGGCCGACAACTTCGTTTTCTCGGCTTTGGAACCACCTTTCGTAAAGTTGTTTCAATTGGAGGTAGAGTCCACTAGTCCCTTCCCACCTCTAAAGTCTCCACCTCCCCCGACCAGTGGTATTCTCATGACAGCCTTTTCATGGTCAAAACCGGTTCCCGTTGAGTTACGCCGCCCAAACCAAATTTTCACCTAGTTTCCCTATGCCACTTTTTTTTTTGTATAATAAGTGCTGTGTCATGTTACTGTCAAGTCCAAGCACCTGTGTGCCCAAATCTGCACTTTGCGCAGCACGCTATAACACAACATTTTGGGTCCAATATTGGATATAACGTACAGCTTTATTTCTTTATTCGTTAGAAACAACTTTCATACCTGCTGTCTTAATGAAGCTTGGCACACTTCGTGCAGAAACTTAGTGGACATCTCACTCGCCTCCCATATCATCGTTCCAGCAGTCCTACGTTTACAGCGACGAGCGAAATAAATTTCCCACTCAAAGCAATTATGGTGGCGGGCCGTCTTGCTTTTCGGAAAATTGCTCAAACTCCCTTTTTGGCCGCAACTAGAGAAATTATCCCTAATAACGACTCAAACTCAATATTTAGGAATTGGAGAACAGCTAAATGCCCTTTTTAGGTCTGCCCCAGCATTCATGCAACGTCACCCTCAACGTATCGGCTCAAAAAG